TTCTGTCCTTTATAAGCCATGCCGTCTGTGGTGCTTTGTCACAGCAGCCCTAATGGACTAAGATGTACCCGGTTTTCCCCATGGGTCCATGTTCTGAAAGATTTTCTATACCGTATAGTAACAACGATGATAGCGACAATGAGAACAATAACAATAGCTGCCACTGATGAGGCGCCTTCCAGGTGAATGTCACCTGTGCTATCCCACCCAGTCCCCACCACAGTCCTTTGATGACGGTGATGCAGCATCTCCGCCCCATTTTACCTGATGAGGAAACACAAGGCACAGAGGCTCAACACTTTTCCAAGCCCCTGCAGCAATAGGAACTAAAGGCAGGATTTGAATTCAGCTTTCTCTAAATTGAGCCTGGTTTTTCCACTGTGTTACACTCTTCTTCAGAAACACAAATTAGTGAGCGCGCTGTGGTGGCTCATGCCTGCAATCCCACCACTTTGGGAGTCTGAGGCAGGAGGATTGCTTGAGGTCAGGAATTCGAGACCAACCTGGGCAACATATTGAAACCCTGTCTCTACCAAAAACAAACAGACAGACAAAAAAAAACCCCTCAAAAAACAAAAAAAGCACAAATTAAGTTAGAATAATAACAATAATACCCAAACTGCATTATTCAATACCAAATCCTTTTACTTTCCATCGTGAAAGGATTAGTTACATAAACCGGCTGCTCTGAAGTAGTTACTGCGCTCTGTTGCTATGATGCTGACATATTGGTTCATTTCTGCAACGCTATTGTGGATATATTGAAATACCAAAAATACAGTTAAGGTTCTGCTCACTAGCTTTTTATCCCTCAAGTTATTCTTTCCTTAAAATTCAGGTGAAATTCATATAACACACAGCTAACCATTTTAAACTGAACAACTGGGTGGCATGTGGTATTCACTAATATGCAACTACCACATTTGATTTAATTCCAAAATATTTTTGTCACCCCCAAAAGAAACCCCACATCCATTAAGCAGTTACTCCCCATTCTCCCCTCCTCCCAGCCCTTGGAAACAATCACTTATCAGCCTTTGAAGCCCATCTCCCATAAAGACCCTGTTCCAACTTGAGGGTGAGCTCTGTGTGTCGCGGGGAGTCACTCCACCTCACTAAGTGGGATTCCCAGCCTAACGGGGCTAGATGAGTGAAGCGTCTTCCAAGGGCTGTGCTCCAGCGCAGGATGGCATTCCCTAGTGGGCTTGGGGGTGGTTTTCCCTTTTGGTTCCCAATGGCCAGAGGTGTAAGGAGACTGAAAAGCACTAAGCCTAATGCCACTGAGTTTGCTTTTATCGCGATGGGATGCGGAGTGGGCTTAATTGCAAAATACTAACAGTAGGACAAACGCGGAGTCTCTCTGTATCTCCTGACTTTACCTTCTGTTACCTTCTACACACAATAGCACTCTTGCAAACGCTCAGCAGGGAAATGCATTTTGGAGGAATATTTTTGAGGGGCATAGCACATATGAAGGAAACAGCTATTTTTTGCTTGAAAGATGTGTGGACCACATGTGCTATGAAAGCACAGGCTTCTTTTTTCATTTTTCATTTTCAAAATCTTGGTTTTTCCAGATTCTTTGCTTGGCCAATGAAAGCACCGGATTCTAATGTTGAAAGTAAAATGTGCATGCTGCTTTCCAGTTATAAAGCATGAAAAATTCATTTTCTTATAGTCCTCACAACAACAGAAGATAACATTATTATTCCCGCTTTACAGATAAGAACATTCCAGAAGTCAGAGGTTAAATGACTTGCCCAGAATTGCACAGATGAAAATGGCAGGCAGGCCTTCCCAAATCCAAAGACAGTGCTCTCTATAGGATGTGGGACTTCTGCCTACCATTGTCAGGGTTGGCACCCCGGGGAAACAGAGCAGTCACTACAGAATGGCCAGAGGTTTCCCTGGGTATTATTCCCAGGTTCCCACTGGCTTGAGTTGGTCAAACCTATCAGGATCAGAGTGAGCCTAGGCTCATCCTCCTCAGCCTCACTGTATCCAGTGAATGGACACTTTCCCCTCTGAGACACACACATCTGAGTTAAGAGTCCCGATCCCAGGTATTTCAGAATTCAGTGGAGTGCAGGCTAGCAGGGATCCAGGCTCTGCTCTCACCTACACCTATTCTGCCCTGCTTCCTGGACCCCCAAATTTGCACTCCATGTTAGTCACATCAACTATTTACAGATCCCAAGCTTGCCTGAAAGTTCCTTACCTCATGCCTTTAAATAATTTTTTTTTTTTTTGAGGAGGAGTTTCGTTCTGCCACGCAGGCTGGAGTGCAGCGGCAGGATCTCGGCTCACTGCAAGCTCCACCTACCGGGTTCACACCATTCTCCTGCCTCAGCCTCCCGAGTAGCTGGGACTACAGGCACCCGCCACCTCACCCGGCTAATTTTTTGTATTTTTAGTAGAGATGGGGTTTCCCCGTGTTAGCCAGGATGGTCTCCATCTCCTGACCTCATGATCTGCCCACCTTGGCCTCTCAGAGTGCTGGGATTACAGGCGTGAGCCACCGCGCCCGGCCGCCTTTAAATATTATTACGGTAGGCCAGGCGCAGTGGCTCGAGCCTGTAATCCTAGCACTTTGGGAGGCCAAGGCAGGTGGTGAACCCTTGAGCTCAGGAGTTTGAGACCAGCCTGGGCAACATAGCAAAACTCCTTCGCCACAGAACAATACAAAAATTAGGCTGGGCGCGGTTTTTGGGAGGTTGAGGAGGGCGGATCAACCGAGGTCAGGAGTTCGAGACCAGCCTGATCAACATGGTGAAACCCCACCTCTACTAAAAATATAAAAATTAGCCAGGCGTGGTGGTGCACATCTGTAATCCTAGCTCCTTGGGAGGCTGAGGCACGAGAATTGCTTGAACCCATGAGGCAGAGACTGCAGTGAGCCAAAATCGCATCACTGCATTCCAGCCTGGGTGAGAAAATGAGACCCTGTCTCAAAAAAAAAAAAAAAAAAAAAAAAAAAAGGAAAATTGTAAGTTATGATAATAGTAACAATAATGGTGATTGCTTTCTCCTGGGTCCTATCCATCTTAGGTTCTATATATGTGCTATTTCATTTAACCCTCACCATAGCTTAATGAAGTCATTATTATCCATTCCATTTCACAGATGAACAAACTGAGGCTCAGAGTGGCTAAGTGCTTGGGCTCTGGAGTCAGACAATCGAGGTACATACCTGGCTCCACCGCTGTCTAATCAGTGTGACCTTGGGCAAATCTCATCTCTCTTTTAGCTGCAGTATCTTCATGTATGACACTGGGCCATGATAAACCTGCTTCATGGGCCTGAGCACATTTGGCACCTGGTTAGTACTTTATAAACGTTCAGAATTGTTAATGCTCATTTTATAAGCAGCTCAGCTCTGCCTGCTTCCAAACTCTTTTCCTGCTTCTCCTCAAGGTCATAGTTCAGGACCCAGTGATTTCCCACCTACTTCTCAGTCCCCACAGCAAGGTGGACATTAGTTCCCTTCCTTTAGGAATGAGGGCACTGGCGCTCAGATAAGCTTAGAGAGCAGCCCAGGGAGTCCTGCTAAAATGGCACCATCTCAGTGCCCCCAGCTCCGAGCACTGGGCCTGGCCAAGAGAAGGCTCAAGGCACCTTTGTTAAAAAATTGGCGGGCTGGGTGCGGTGGCTTATGCCTGTAATCCCCACGCTTTGAGAGGCTGAGGCAGGGAGGATCCCTTGAGCCCAGGAGAAAGAAGCCAGCCTGGGCAACACAGGGTGACCCACCTCTACAAAAATTTTTAAAAATTAGCCGAGCATGGTGGTGCATACCCGTGGTCCCAGCTCCTCAGGAGGCTGAGGTGGGAGGATAGCTTGAGCCCAGGAATTCGAGGCTGCAGTGAGCTATCGCATCACTGCACTACCTAGCCTGGCCAACAGAGCAAAATCCTTAGACAAAAAAAAAAAAAAAAAAAAAGGAACAACTGGCTCCTAATCAGGTAACTCAGCACTGAGTATGATGGGAGCACACCCCAACTCCCCCATAGCTGGAAGTGGAGGTGGAAAGACAATGGAAGCTTTTGATGTAACCCTTTTGATACGCTGCTAGAGGAGAGCAGAAAGATACTTGAGAGAACATTGTCTATCTTCCCGAGAAATTTCTGGCTGAAAGTCAAGATGATAGGATGGGCTTCTGGGCCAGGGGAGCAAGGCAGAGGGAAGGAGAGTATCAGTTTCCTAGGCACGTCCTGTTAGAGGGAGAAAAACACAGTATTCTCCATTCTAGACCAGGGGAAAGATGAGGTCTCCCATAACACCTGAAACTGGAATTAAGGTGAGGAGCTTTTTATGTGGGAATTTCTGTACTAAATTTAAAGTCCTTGGAGAACCGCTTAGGGTAGCACTGACAGCCCACACCCTCCCCTCACCCCGCTTTATTTTTCCTCTGGCATAGCACTTAGCACCATCAGACCCATCAGATATTTACGGCCTATCCCTGCTGCCCCTCCCAGGCAGGGATTTTGTCTTGGTTCGCATCTGCAGCTCCAGGGCCTAGAGCAGCCCGGGCACTTAGTAGGCCCAGTGAGTATCTGCGGGAGGGCTGAATGGGTGCGTGGACAACATTCCTCTTACTGACCCCGCTGCGAGGTGAGCCAGGCAGGGACTGTCACCATTCCTGAAGTCCAGGTGAGGGGGAAGCGACCCAGGGACAGGAACCTGGCCGGTCCGAAGGTCTGGAGACCGGGACTCGAGTCCAAGCCCTGCCTGACAGGCCGTGACCTTGGGGGCCACCCCTGCCCCTCTGAGGGCTGGGTTTCCTCCTCGCACAATGAGGGCAATGACCCCCAACCGCAGCGCGCCCCGCGGTGACTTGCCCAAGGTCACCACCATCCTGGGCCCGTGGCGCCCCGGCTCGGGAGGACATGGGCCAGGCGGGCGCGGGGTTCTGGGGTGGGGGCCGGCGCAGGGCGGTCCAGGGGCGCGGCGCGCGCTGACGCCGGGGCCCTGCGATGCGGCGGGGACTGGGCGCGGGGGGAGGCGCGTCGCGAGGCGAGCGTCCTCCTTTTGTGCGAGCGCCGGCGGCTCGGCTTCTCGAAGGTAAACAGCGCTTCCTCTTCCTCCTCGCCGCGCCTCTTCCTTTTATAGTTATTTCTCGCCTGGCACTCGCCCGGGCCGCTGCTGCTGCTGCTGCTGCCGCCGCGGCGGGGGCAGCTCGCAAACCTGTGGCGGTGACGTGAGCCCCGCCAACCCGGAAACGGCGGCGGCGGCACCGGAGGCTCCGAGTCTCCTGCGCTCCCGCGCCGCGCTCCCCTCGTCCGCCCGGGCCGCCAGGTACGTGCCGGGGCTCTGAAGGCGCCGCCGCCCGGCCAGCCCGCGCGCGCGCCCCTGGAGCCGATTTGCTCCTGGAGAGGGCGCGGGGTGCGGGGCGCGCGCGTGATGGGTGCAGGGAGAGGCTGGGGTGCAATCCGGGCCGCCGGGCCGGGCGCTGTGGCGGGTGGACAGGGGGCGCCGCCGGGGTTGGGGCGTCCGGGCCGGCGGGCGCGGGGGTCCCGGGGGAGGCTTCTTGAGTGCGCGGGGGGTGGCGGGCGGACGCGAGGGGAGCGCGCAGCGGGGCCGCCACCCGGGTCCACCCAGCTGCGGGGCCGGCGCCTGGTGCGCCTCGAGGCAGGGGGCGCTCAGGTCGGGGTGGCTGGTCCTGGGCAGACCCTTCCTGCGAGCCAGGTGTCGGCGCGGGGACTGACCCTGGCAGCAGCGCTGGCCCCCGGCCACCACCCATCAGGGGCTTGGAAGGCCGGTGGCATTCGATTTGAGGAACTAGAGGGGGTGAACAAAATCTCCATTGGCCTCAAGACTTCCTCCTGGGGTGGCCACCCGCCTGTGTTTAAAGAGCACTTCCTCTTCGTCTTTTATCTTTTCATCATCTTTCTTTTTAAATGGAAGTTCAGTGTTAACGGGTGGGTACCCTTGCAGCCTGCAGGGCTTTCGTGGGGCTGTGTACACACACACTGGGGGTGGGAGAAACCTGCTGTGTGCCCTTTGAAACGTGTGTCCTGTGTCGGGGTGGAAGGAAGGAGGTCTTCCCATGCTGGAGCTTCTTGGGGTGTGTTTTTGCTACCCACCCTGCTGCGTGAGGTGGAGGGGTGCGGAGGGATAGAGTGGGAAGCTGGGGCTGCGGAGGAGTGTCACGTGCACTTTGCACCTATATTTAATTCCTGGCCCTGCCGTTTACTAGCTGTGTGACCTTGGGCAAGTCGCTTACCCTCTCTGAGTCTTAGGGTCCCGTCTGTAAAATGGGCTGCTGCGAGTAGGGCCTTGAGAAAACCAGCGTAGATTTCCTGGCCTGGAGGGGGCGCAGTGATAGAAAGTGTCATTGCCAGTCACCTTGAATTTCTGCATCCCCAGCACCTAGAAAGGGTGCCTTGGAGCACGTGGGAAGCACCCCATAGATAATTGTGAGATGAACGGGTGGGGGGTGAATTTTGAGAGGTGAGCCAGTGTGCTTCCACATTTTGGCTTCCTTGCTCTGTAACTTCCATCCACGATCCCCGGGGAGCAGTTTTGCCATGGGAGTTGGATGGACTCCTCCCCTCTCTGAGGAAGACCATCTTGTGAAAATATATTGACTCCCTTGTGAAAAAGGGCTTAAACTCTGACTTTGAGATTCTCCCATTCTTGGAAGATTGCACTGAGGGAAAAATAAAAAGAAGGCGTCATTTTGATTGCCACTGCCAGATGACTGACTGAGGCCAGCAGCCAAGGCTGAGCCAGGGCTGACGGCTGGGATGGTTTCCCAGGCCTGGGGTTCCTGTAATGTGGGGGAAGCCCGGAAGAGGTGGCTTTTCTACCTTGGTTGGCATGCAGAAGTGGTCAGCTGGCCTGAGTTTTCTTCCTGGGGAGACACGTTGGAATTTGCACCCTAGATCCTTGTTGGGCTCACAAGAAGGGCAGAGTGTGTGATGCAGGAGGCTGCAGTGGGTTCTAGCACAGGGAGACTTGGAAATGGTTTTCAAATAAAGGCCGATATATGTTTCTACCCTTCACTTTGGGATATTTTCAAGTAATTTTGCTCTCTCTGACAGCCACCCCTTCTCCTTTCTCAGCTCCCAAAGTCTTCCGTGTACCTCTCTTAGGATCCTTAGCTATGTGGGTCCCCCAACTCCTGAGCCCTGTAAGTGTTACTATTATTTTTAAGAGACAATAGCAACGTCCTGCAGTTTGAGCATGTGCAGATTCATTTTGTTTGTGTTTTGGAGAAAGGGTCTCACGGTATTGTTGAGGTTGAAGTCGTGCAGTGATGTGATCATGTCTTACTGCAGCCTTGACCTCTCAGGCTCAAGCCATCCTCCTACCTCAGCCTCCCAAGTAGCTGGGACCACAGGTGTGCGCCACCATGCCCAACTAATTTTTTAATGTTTTGTAGAGACGGGGTCTCCCTGTGTTGCCCAAACTCCTGGGCTCAAGGGATCCTCCCTGCCTTAGCCTCCCAAAGTGCTGGGATTACAGGCGTGAGCCAGTGTGCCCGGCCCAGGTTCATTTTTAATGACTGAACTGTGGAGTGGTCAGGGTTACCTGTAAAGGAGAGCTAGGGTTCTCATTTTCCTGAGACTTAGAGAGAGTGCAGGACTTGGCCCAAGACCTTCAGTCAGGAAGGGGCAGATTGAGGGTCTCACCTAAGTCTCCGGCCTGTAGAGCTCACGTTTCTTCTTGCAGACCCTGAGTGATCTTTGTGCTTCCTCTGGCACCTGACTTGCTGCCTGGCACATGCAGGAAATGGTACGTGTCTTTGACAGAATGAGCAGAAGAATGATGGGTTCCCCTTTGCTCTTTGAGGATGGACATTCTTTTTCCATCTCAAGGTCAGCACACTGGCCTGCCGTTGACCTTGAAATGGTTCTCCCGTGGTTCCTCCCTATGTGGAATCCTGGTCCCTGACAGCTCTTCTATCAGGATCCAGAGACCCATGCACAGGAAGCACAGGAAGGATGCCCGAGGGATGCCGGTGCCAGGAGGTTATGGCCTCACCCGTGCTCAGCATTACTGCCATCTCGTTAATTGAAGAGACCACCATTCATGTGGCTTTGGCGGTCTGGGACTTGGCTGTCTTCAGCAAAATCATCCACCACTGAGCATTGTAAAGGAAGTGTTGTATAGCTGAAAATTCAGATTAAAATCTATCTCTTGGCCGTGCAGCCTTCGAGAGGTCACTATACTCTTGGCACCCTCTTTTCCTCATCTCTAAACAGGCAAAAGAATCCCCATCGGTCTCCCAGGGCTCCTGAGTAAGAGAGTAAGATCCAGATTCATACCTCGGTTTTCTTTCTCACTGCTCGTGTGCATGGAACCAGGTTTGTTCCCTTCTTGGAGCCTCAGTGTTCTCATCTGTAAAATGGACACATATGTCATGGGGTTGTGTAGCTCCTGGCAGTAATGTAAGCGAAGCCCTTAGCATAGGCCCCTGTTCCCATTGCATAATAGTGATCCCCATCCATGATTTTTGTTAACAACAGTAATAATCACTGTTTCCTCAGCAAGCGTGTAGGCATCTCAAAGGCCAGATTCATCTCTCTGTTTTAGCTTGAATTGTAGCTTCTTTTTTTTTTTTTTTTTTTTGAGACAGAGTCTCGCTGTGTCGCCCAGGCTGGAGTGCAGTGGCCGGATCTCAGCTCACTGCAAGCTCCGCCTCCCGGGTTCACGCCATTCTCCTGCCTCAGCCTCCCGAGTAGCTGGGACTACAGGCGCCCGCCACCTCGCCCGGCTAGTTTTTTCGTATTTTTAGTAGAGACGGGGTTTCACCGTGTTAGCCAGGATGGTCTCAATCTCCTGACCTCGTGATCCACCCGTCTCGGCCTCCCAAAGTGCTGGGATTACAGGCTCGAGCCACCGCGCCCGGCCGAATTGGAGCTTCTTGAAAGAAATAAATTTGGGTGGGAGGAGTGAAGGGTTGATTTTTTTTTTTTTTCCTCTTCCCTAAAGGGGATACTTGATAAAGGCCTGTTGAAGACAGACTCCTTCTGATCTTGTTTTTCATTCATTTCTCAGGGTAAGGGCTGTCCCCCATCCCTGTTTTTCTGTCTCTCTTGTAAAGTCCCCTCTTTATGTGTCTGTGACACTCATTTCCTATCTTCTCATAACCTTCATATCGACTTCTTCCTGCATTCGGTTGAGAGTTTCCTTCTCTGGGCTCTCAAATGGACCAGGTCCTTTTGCTTCAGTAGAACTTTGGCAATTAAGTCTTTGATAGTCTTAAAACAGGTGATTGGCCTCCCCAGGCTGAAAGAAAGGCCTAGGATGCACGAGGTTAAGAGCAATTTTTTTTCCTCTCCTCCTTTTCTCCTTCTAGAGGCAGTGAAGGTTTGGGGGCCCTGCACCCTGTGTTCACATCCTGGCTCTGCCACTCACTAGCTCTGTGGCCTTGGCCAAGAGACTTCCTTTCTCTTTGTCTTTCTCTTCATCTTTCAAATGAGGACTAACAGTCGCCACCTGGAAGTGTTGTTGTGAAGATCAACCCAGAGGTTGTATGGACAGTGCCCAGCAGAGATCATGGCACCTAGTAGGTGCTCAGCAGTGTCTGTTTCTTCCCTCGGCCCCTGGTGCTCTTTCTGTCCCTCCCCTGGTCCCATCATCTGTCCCCACATCCATCGTCTTGCCCTCCCCGGACAGAGCTTCAGTTTCCTTTGGGAATAGAGCCTTTGGCTGGGCGCAGGTCATTCCTAGATTAAAGTTGGAACCTCCAAGCTTTATGAAGTCCAAGTGTGCTATTTTAAACCAATTGTGGACTTTTGTGTGGTGCTTCTGCTGAATGGAAAGATAATTGTACCAGAGCTTGTCGAGAAGAGTAAATGGGCGAGTCGTGGAGCTTACATTCTGTCCCATTGATTTTTTTTTTTCCTTCTTTTGGAGGACTTACTAGCTGCCATCTGCTCCTTGAACATCGTGTTCATAAATATATAAATAATCGAAGTTGATGAGGAGGTTTGCTTAAAGAAGTGTTGCTGAGAGTGATTTTTATAAATATTTAAGATAATCTGAAATCATTAAAGGAATTGCGGGGTTTATTAAGAAACTGAAGACGTGTTTTGGAAAGGATCCTTTTCTTTACAAGCTGAATAAATGTCAAGAGTAGAGAAATGAGGGAAGAGAGCTTTCTGAGCGTGGACATGAGACCCATGCTGGTGAGTGGGCAGCCAGTCTGTCTGACTCTGCCAGGCCTCAGCGTTCTTTTTTTTTTTTTTAATCTTTTTTAATTTTAATTTTAATTTTAATTTTTGAGATGGAGTCTCGTTCTGTCACCCAGGCTGGAGTGCAGTGGCACAATCTTGGCTCACTGCAAG